GAGCCGGAAGCGGCCCCAGAAACACGGGCACCACTAGCTGGACGAACCGACGCCCGATGCAGAACGGCAGCAGCCTCCACCACAGGGGGAACCGGACCACACACAGCAGGAGGCTCCGCAGCCACCCCAGCACCCTGGCACAGGAGGGACCCGAGGTGAAGCTGCAGGGCCAGGTCCAGCAGCCGAAGACGAGGAAACATGATGACGCCCCACAGGGAGTACCAGGAAGACCCACGGGAGCAGCAGGGCCAGAGACAGGAGCAGGAGTAACATCCGACTGCACCGCAACATCCAGAGGAGGGCCGGCGACAACCGGGGGAACAACGGGCGACGCTGGGGAATCCACAGCAGAGAATGGGACGCTCACCTCCTCACTCCCGGAGTCCTCCTCCAGAGGGAGTGGCGGGAAATCCTCCTCACGGAACAAATTCACGGGAGCGACCGGATCAGCAGTACACCCGGCAGCCTGATGCCCCAATAAGCCACACCGGAAACAAGTACGGGGTTGTCGGGCATAAAACACCCGCACGTAGTATCCTAACAACCAGACAGATGATGGAATGTCCGACCTCAGTCGTATCCCGAGGGTCCGAATGTTGGTCTTCACACCCGAATACGTTCCAGACGATAGCGAGTTCATCCGCACACTGACGATGGAGCCGTACCTCTGGAAGAAACGCCGGAGGAGAGTCTCAGGAAACTCTATGGGGGCACCATGGACACTTACATATGTCACAGCCCCACTACGGTCCGAAATGGTCACAGACCCGGTGCCGTCCTGCAGTTGCAAAATACGCCCCTCGTACCTCCGGAGAAAATCACAGTACACTGCCTCACCCACAAACTTGATGACGACACGGCGAGCAGTGACCAGCTCGACACCATGTACGTCCTGGACCGGGACCCAGAGCATGTCACTCAAGACCAAGTCCACAAGCGGGTAACCAGCACGTCCAGTAAACTCCAAACCTATGGAGTTTACCCTCACGACAGCTGGAATATGGCTGCCTATCGCAAACACGCCACGTCCCCACCACCAGGAACAGCAGAGAGGGTAGAGACATCCACACCCCCTGCCGGCGAAAACGGCAACTACCCAAAAACTGCCGGAGCGGGCAAACAACATGTCTACACCGTACGGCAGCTCAGGTGAGACCTAGACATGTAATGGTATTTGCATGATACATGACATTAAGCTTTTTCTATGAAATCAAGTGCACTAGAGTATTTTCTAAATGAGATTACAGAAACAATAATATTGGTGATACTAGGCTGATCAAAATAGATATCACTATACAGTTTGAACGCATCATATAGTATGATCATAACCGCAGTATGATCATACTGGCGTATGTGTGATCATAACATGTTAATGGTCGTATACTGTGTGTAGTGGTGATGATTTTGAGTTGTGTACAATGGTGGTTTTTTTTGTATAGTATATAGTGATGATTTTTGTTTATAAAGTTTAGTTGTGATGATTTTGTATTGTCAATATTGGTGATGATTTTATTGGTGATGATTTTGTATAGTGTGTATTAGTGATGATTTTTTAGGGTGATGGTTTTGTGTGTAGTGAACATGTTTTTGTATGTAGTTGTGATTTTTTTATAGTGTGTAGTGATAATATGTTTGTATAGTATTGATTTTTGTGTCTAGTTTGTAGTGGTGATGATTTCGCGTTATGTACAGTGGTGATGATTTCGCGTTATGTACAGTGGTGATGATTTCGCGTTATGTACAGTGGTGATGATTTCGCATTATGTACAGTGGTGATGATTTCGTGTGATGTATAGTGGTGATGGTTGTATATATTTTATAGTGGTTATCTTGAGATAATTTTGGGGCTTTTTAGTGTCCCCGCGGCCCGGTCCTCGAACAGGCCTCTACCCCCAGGAAGCAGCCCTTGACAGCTGACCCAGGTACCTATTTTACTGCTAGGTAACAGGGGCATAGGGTGAAAGAAACTCTGCCCATTGGTTCTCGCCGGCGCCCGGGATCGAACCCGGGACCACAGAATCAGAAGTTTGCTCGGCCGACCGGCTCCCAGTAGTGATCATAATTTTGTATAGTATGTAGTGGGGATGGTCTTGTATATTGTTTAGTGGTGATGTTTGGAATTGGGTGTAGTGGTGGTGGTTTTGTATAGTGTGTATTGATGTTCATTTGGTATAATATCAGTTTGTTTAGTGGTGACTGTTTTCTAATGTGTGTAATGGCGGTGGTATGCAATACCACCGCCATTACATTAGTGAGATGTGATGATGGTTTTGCATAGTTGGTAGTAGTGAGAGTTTCGTCTTAAATATAATGGTGATGGTTATATATTATTTGTTGTAATCATAGTTGTGTATAGCATGATGGCTTTGTATAGTGTGAATAGGTTATATTTTTGTATGGTGTACAGTTGTGATGGCGTTGTATTGTGTGTAGTGGTGAGAGTTTTGCATATTGTGTAGTTGTCATATATTTGCATAATGTGTAGCTGTGATAGTTTTGTATAATGTGTAGGTGTTGTGGTTTTGTATAGTGTGTAGTGGGGAGGTTTTTGTCATAGCACGCCAAAAGTAAGGTCATAGCGCAAGTCTTAGTTGTATAGAACATGAAGCAATGACTGATGATCCTGGACTAGTTACCAATCGCCAGTTGGAGCTGGCATTGGAGGAAGGAGGAGGAGTCACTCTCAGCAGAGATTGTTATCGTCAGCATAAAAGGATCAGAAAAGGCCAAATGGAAGGGAGGAATGACTGCCATTTAATACAATCAGGAAAAATAGCTTTGCTCAGAACACTACAGTGGGGAACACCTTCATAAAGTTGAAAAAAGTGAGAATAAGCAGTACCAAGCTTCTCTTTACACTAACAATGAGAGAAAGAGCTTTAAAGGAAGAGCTGTAGATTGCACAAAGGCCAAAAGAATGTAGTTTGACTAAAATACATCCTCAGGTGGTGTCATAAACCTTTTTCAGGTAAAAAAGAACGGCTACAATGGAGATAATTACAGCTAAGGAATTACGAATGTTGACCTCAATGCCGACCAAGATATCAGTTGTGCTGCAACACGTCAGTGCTATGGGACGAAAATTCCATTAAGGGAAGTCCCCTGAGTACGGGGTTTCTGAAGGGAAAGAACGACTGCCTCAACTCTGGGACTGATGTCGCCACCCAAATACTAAAAGGGTCACTAAGGGAGAAGACGGAGCATCTCTTGGTCAATTCTGCCTGAGACCTGCAGTGGGACAGAGCGGACTGGTGTTCATATTGTTATAAGGGAGTTGTAGACGACTATATAAGTACAAATACCGAGATTCAGTAAGGGGCTTATGAGTTAGGAAAGTAGGAGGAAGATAAATACCGGAGCTACCGGATGAATAATGCGAACCAAGTTCATCCACGACCAACACCGGATCAGCCACAATGGAACCATGGAGTTGAAGGACAGGCGATATGCCTGAAACTAATTTACCCACAATCTAATGGATTTTCCTCTAAACCTAAGGCAGTTGGGTGCCAACAGTAATAGTGGAGATCAATGATTTCCTACTTTCACGTTTAGTCGTACAGAAGGCCCTGTGGACCACTGCAGTTGCCTTCCTGGAAAGAATTAAAGATTTAGGTGTTGGTCAATGTCATTTCGAGGAAACATTCTTTTAGCACTTTTGTTGAGTCGCTTCATTGACCTAACTCATGAATCCATACTTACAAACTTCTCTGTCTCCACTGTCGGGCCAGCAGCTACCTCCCTCAAGCTCTCGTCCTCCTCTGCAGAGATGGTTCGGAGGTTTTCACGAAGGTGCCAATGGCACCTTCCATTGCCCTCACTCTTGTCTTCTTTAGATTCTTATAATTGACAACAACTCAACTTCTTGTTTTTGCATGAGCGCCGTCCAAAGAAGCTGCACCCTATTGCCAGATACAATTCACCATCAGTCAAAAAGAATTTCAGGACAGACCACAATACATCAACTCATGTAATAAATTTGATTCAATTTCACATAAATTAAGATCCACTGGCTGCAGCGTTAATGGTTTCTCGTGAATATTTTTGAAATATTGAGCAGCAATATTTGTAAATGTCCAAATAATACGAAAACTTTGCAAGAAATAAATTCAGAAGATTTAAATACTTTAAGATGGATCAAGATGGGCTCTTGAAATAAATAAAAAATTGTCAAATGCAGTTTTACGGTGAAATATGAATAATCCGTTAACTTGGTAGTGATGATAGTATCATCACGGGGTATCAGCAGGATGCAGTTGAAACTGCGAAGTTTAAATATGATAAAGATCTGGGGTACATGGTTAATAGAAATGCCTAAAACACAATGCAAATGCTTTCTGAATGAGACAAATGGGACACTGGGATTTATTTCTAGAAACGTTAGCAATAAAACAGTTAATGGTATTCACGATGTATATTTTGCTCGTGGTAGGCCCGATTTTGATTTTGTAGTTTAATTTTACTATAACATGAATCAAAATTTCCTTGAACTCGTTCAACGAAGGATGACAAAATTCAAGTCACAAATTAAAAGCCTTCCATATTAATTGAGATTGTGACAGCTTAATTTACATTCTCTAGAAAAGTGAAGAGTTTGGGCTGACGTAACTGAAGAGAACAAATGGGTGAAAGTGTGAAACAAATTTGAAATTAATAATGTAATAAATATCAACACAAATCAAAACACGAAATAGCTAATATAGATTGGATAAGTTTGGGTATGGGAAAAACCTGGGTAAATGCTGATTTGAAAACATCGTTGTTAATTTATAGAACAGAGTTCCAGGCAAAATAATAGACATAGGAACTTGTAATTGTTAGAAGCATAAGTTGACATATTGAGCAAGTTTGGGGGGATTTAAATAGGAGCAGCCTCGTATGAGCCAGAAAGTGTTCTGTAGTTTTCCTAACTATCATATATTTATGTGATTTGCAAGCATCGTTTATGTTTAAAAAATGTAGCAGCAAATGCACCATGGTACAATTTCACCATATTTCAGGCCCTGTTGCCCCTGCTGCGTCAGGCAGCTGGTGGCGTAGAGGAGCACTTTAGTGTGCGAAGGGCAGCAGCTGGTGGCGCCGAGGAACACTTGGGTGTGACGAGGGCAGCAGCTGGTGGCGCCGAGGAACACTTGGGTGTGACGAGGGCAGCAGCTGGTGGCGCCGAGGAACACTTGGGTGTGACGAGGGCAGCAGCTGGTGGCGCCGAGGAACATTTAAGTGTGAAGAGGGCAGCAGTGGTCAACATCTCCTCCATCCAGGGTAGCATGGGCGCCTTCACAGGACAACCTGCTCCCTATGGCTACCGAGCCAGCAAGGTGGGTAGTGTCATCAATGTGGAGAAGTGTCAGCAATGTTGATAGTGTCAGCAATGTGGGTAGTGTCAGCAAGGTGGGTAGTGTCAGCAAGGTGGGTAGTGTCAGCAAGGTGGGTAGTGTCAGCAAGGTGGGTAGTGTCAGCAAGGTGGGTAGTGTCAGCAAGGTGGATAGTGTCATCAATGTGGAGAAGTGTCAGCAATGTTGATAGTGTCAGCAATGTGGGTAGTGTCAGCAATGTGGGTAGTGTCAGCAAGGAGGATAGTGTCACGAAGGTGGGTGGTGTCAGCAAGGTGGGTAGTGTCAGCAAGGTGGGTAGTGTCAGCAAGGTGGGTAGTGTCAGCAAGGTGGGTAGTGTCAGCAAGGTGGGTAATATTACAATGTGGGTAGTGCCAGCAATGTGGTTGGTGTCAGCAATATGGGTAGTGTCAGCAAGGTAGGTAACATCAGCAATGTGGGTAGTGCCAGCAATGTGGGTAGTGCCAGCAATGTGGGTAGTGTCAGCAAGGTGGATTGTGTCAGCAAGGTGGGTAATATCACAATGTGGGTAGTGCCAGCAAGGTGGGTGGTGTCAGCAAAGTGGGTAGTGCCAGCAAGGTGGGTAGTGCCAGCAAGGTGGGTAGTGCCAGCAAGGTGGGTAGTGCCAGCAAGGTGGTTAGTGCCAGCAAGGTGGGTAGTGCCAGCAAGGTGGGTAGTGCCAGCAAGGTGGGTAGTGTTAGCAAGGTGGGTGGTGTCAGCAATATGAGTAGTGCCAGCAAGGTGGGTAGTGTCAGCAAGGTGGATAGTGTCAGCAAGATTGGTAATATCAGCAATGTGGGTAGTATCATCAATGTGGGTAGTGTCAGCAATGTGGGTAGTATCAGCAATGTGGGTAGTGTCAGCAATGTGGGTAGTGTCAGCAATGTGGGTGGTGTCAGCAATGTGGGTAGTGTCAGCAATGTGGGTAGTGCCAGCAATGTGGGTAGTGTCAGCAATGTGGGTAGTGTCAACAAGGTGGGTAGTGTTAGCAAGGTGGGTGGTGTCAGCAATATGGGTAGTGTGAGCAAGGTGGGTAGTGTCAGCAATATGGGTAGTGTCAGCAATGTGGGTAGTATCAGCAATATGGGTAGTGTCAGCAATGTGGGTAGTGTGAGCAATGTTTGGTATTTGTGAGAAATGTGGGTAGTGTCAGCAAGGTGGGTAGAGTCAGCAATGTGGGTAGTGTTAGCAATATGGGTAGTGTCAACAATGTGGGTAATGTCATCAAGGTGGGTAGCAAAACCTTTTTCACTATCCACCAATGTGGGTAATGAAACCAATGTGGGTAGTAAAAAGGGTCGTCAAACCCCTTTTCTCTGTATGAAAAACACTTTACCATCAATGAACAACTGATGACATATGTACTCTTATCGACCACTGCGCTGTTCCCGTCCTCTGGCCGAATTGCATCTGACACAAATAGCCAACAGAACCAAAATAATATGTTGACCAAACCACAAGAAAGCGAAGGGACGACGACGTTTCAGTCGGTCTTGGACCATTCTCAAGTCGATTCATCAGCACATATATCACTTCCTCAACAGATACATTACTTCAGATTACATAACAACAGATTCATTAATAACACACACAGAAATCACAATAGCATGATACATCATATGGACAAATCCACAAGGGCCGTGACGAGGATTCGAACCTGCGTCCGGGAGCATCCCAGACGCTTCCTTAATCGACTGAACAAAGACATGGTCAAAAGAGTTGAAACCGAAGTTCTACTGAACTTACTGGATCCTGCAGCCTCTCCGAGGCACAAACCGGGGTTTTACACAATTTTTCCATGCACTCCAGATATGTCAATAGGCGGTTCTCCTCTTCGCCCTAACTTCATTACACACAGAAATCACAATAGCATGATGCAACAAATGAACAAATCCACAAGGGCCGTTACAAGGATTCGAACCTGCGTCTGCGAGCACCCTTGTGGATTTGTTCATTTAATGCATCAGGTTATTGTGATTTCTGTGTGCAATGAAGTAAGGGCAAAGAGGGAGAACGGCCTATTGACAAGACTCGAGTGCATGGGGGAGTTGTGTAAAATCCTGGTTTGTGTCAGAGAGAGTCTGCAGGATCCAGTAAGTTTAGTAGAACTTTGGTTTCAACTCTTTTGACCATGTCATAACTCAGTCGATTAAGGTATCGTCTGGAATGCTCCTGCACACAGGTTCGAATCCTATTCACGGCCCTTGTGGATTTGTTCGATTCATTATTACATTTATATATTCTCAATCGTCTTGAGAATGGTCCAGGAAGGACCGAAACGTCGTCGTCCCTTCACTTTCTAGTGGGGTTAGGTCAACATATTTCAGCCACGTTATTGCGACTCCTCGTCTGCAATAACCTAACCTAACCTAATTTTACCTGAATTCGATAATACTATTCAAAACATTCTAGTATGTAGTAATATTAACTTAAAGTTCAGAAAATACAAAGTTTTAATATGTAACAAAAAACTAACGAATGTCACTGAGGTCGACCACCTGTTGAACGAGCCTAGCCCGAGGACAGGTTGGAAGAGCAGTTCTGACAAGTAAGAACATCTGGCAACTATTCGTTGTGGTAGTTAGCAGTAAAGTGAATATAATTGAAAAACCTATATCCAAACATTTAACATAACTTTAGACAACACAAACATGAAATGGTAAATCAGCACGAGTAAACAGCCTTAAGCCCCACGTGACACCAAAAAAAAGCCTATCAAACAAACGAGACGAATTATGATACGATCAAACTCCCCCCAATCCCTGTGGGTGTTGGGTATTTCTCCAGCAGGAATTTATTAGTTAATTTATTTATATATTAAATTATTAATTTATTGAACTTACTCTAATTTATAATTATTAACTCAGAGTGGACTGTATATTTAAAAGTGGACTGTATATTTAAAAGTGGACTGTATTTTAATGATTCTTCCTGCTAGGTGTTTACCAGTTCACAAGTATGGGGCGGGTAATTATGTATGTAGCCTATTAATCAAATAATAGATAATGGTAATAACAACTGAATGTTAATGTTAGTACTACTGCTAAAATCGGTTAGTAAAATGTATACACTGCTTATCTATTAGGGAGTTGGTCGGCCGAGCGGACAGCACGCTGGACTTGTGATCCTGTGGTCCCGGGCGCCGGCGAGAAACAATGGGCAGAGTTTCTTTCACTCTATGCACTTGTTCCTAGCAGTAAAATAGGTACCTGGGTGTTAGTCAGCTGTCACGGGCTGCTTCCTGGGGGTGGAGGCCTGGTCGAGGACCGGGCCGCGGGGACACTAAAAGCCCCAAAATCATCTCAAGATCTCAAGATAGGTTGTGTATAACCTATTAATAGGTACTAGATATTCCTCATTCATGTATGAGAAACTTTTTGGTTTAAGCCCTAATGGTGACCGTGAATACTTCCTGTTGCACTAGGACTGCTCAATGTTATTTCTTCCGCCATTGAACTGCAGCTGCCAAGTAACTAATAAGTAGTAACCTGTCACTACTATACACAACATATATCAGGGAAGAGATTTTTGTATTATAAAACACATATACACAATGGCTTAGATTTTGGTCGCCAGGTGGTGTGGGCTTCTCTGCCCTCCCAGTTTGTTGCTGCCTGGCTGCATGTTGACGTGGCGGTTCTGACATGGGAGGCCATCTTCCCCTTGTTGTGCATGTGAACTCCGTGGGCCTGGAGTTCACTTGTAAGGCTGGATATACAACCATCGAGATGGTGATGTGTGACATGCTTCGCATGCCGGTGGAGGCTATCTATGGTGTGGAGCTTGTTACAGCCCACCGGGTTGTTATTAAGTTCGTGAGGGAAGAGGAGTACCGGGACTTCCTCCGTCGGTACGAAGGGCGTACGTTGCAGTTGCCAGATGATGCCGGCTCTGTGGCGATTTCGGACCTCAGTGGTGCCCTGACTTATGTCAGTGTCCATGGTGCGCCCCTGGAGTTCCCTGAAGACCTCCTCCGGCGTTACTTCAGGAGGTTTGGTACTGTTGTCAGCGTGCGGGTGAACACTAGGGGCAGTATGCTGGGAGGCGAACGAACATTCGCACGTTGGGAATGCACCTGCGGTCTGATATACCTTCTTCTGTCCAGCTTATGGGATACTACGTCCGGGTGTATTATGCCCAGCAGCCTCGTACTTGTTTCCGGTGTGGCCTGTTGAGGCATCAGGCTGCCGGGTGCTCTGAGGCCCCAGCTGCTCCTGTCAACATGTTCCGAGAAGAGGATTTCCCGCCGCTCCCACTGGAGGCAGTCTCCGATGATGATGAGGAGGTGAGCGTCCCGTTCGCTGCTGTAGCTCCCCCGGCGACGCCTGACGTTCCTCCGGTTGTTGCCGACCCTCCTCCGGGAATTGCGGTACCGTCGATTGGTCTGCCTGATCCTGTCACTGTCCAAGCTGCTTCCGTGGCCTTCCTGGCGATCCCTGTGTGGCGTCTGTGTCTTCTTCCTCGTCTTCGGATGCTGCGCCTGGCCCTGTGTCCGTGACTCGGGTCCCGGATGTGCTGGGTGGTGGGGTGGCTGCGGAGCCTCCTGCTGTGTGTGGCCCGGTTCCCCCTGTGGTAGAGGCTGCTGCCGTTTTGTGTCGGGCGTCGGTTCATCCGGATCGTGGTACCCGTGTTTCTGGGTCTGCTTCCGGCTCTGACGATATCCGGCCGGTGCTCAAATATTCCTGGCGTTCGTCTTTGCCTGGGCCGATGTTGGTGACTTCAGTGACTGTGTCTCGGACGTGCCTTCGGTTCTTTCTCCACCAGAGGAATCTCTGCAGTGGGGGGTGGTGGCTTCTGCTGCCAGGGATGGTGTGGACTCTTTTGCTGGGTGTGGCCTGGTGGTGACATTACAGAAGGATGCGCGCCGTCCGGGTTCCCTGCTGTCGTCTGGTGGTGTGCCCGGGGCCGCGGGTGCCCCTGTTGTGGTGCCCTGTGGCCAGTTCGCTCCTGTGAGGGTGCACGTTGGATACCTGGAGGACGTGTTGCCGGCGTTTGTGATGCCGCCGGGTCACTGGACGGAGATTGCCAAGTTACTGCTGTCTGGCGGACCAGAGAACTTTCATGGTGGGCAGGTTCCCTTCATGTGGGGGCGGGTGGCGGCTACTCGCCTCATGACTACTACCATCTGGGTCTCCTGTTTGCGGGTGTTTGTTGCCTTGGTTCCGGATGTTATGGCGTCCCCGGTGGATGAACGGGACCCTTGGCGCTGGGTGCTCTGGGAAGCGTTCAATATACGGTTCCCGCGGGCCAGGTTCCCGGGCAAGTATGTCCACTGATTTCCTGTGTATTTGCTATATGAAATGCTGTGTGCCCCTCTGGCTGTTTGTTTGCCCTGTTATATTCTGTGCTCGTGCCTCTCCCTTTGTGCGTTTCTTTGCTGTATGGCATATTAGTTTCTTGAGCTTGGCGTCACTCGTTTCTCGTTTTGGCTTGGCGTTTCGCCTTTCCTGACTTCGCAATTCACCCTTAACAGGTTCGCCGGGGCGCATCCGATCCCACGATCGTCGTCGCCCCTAACTCAACAACAACAATAACACAATGGCTTACCTCTTCTGGGGTTTTCTCGTACATCATAACCAGCAAAATTTGTATATATAATTAATTAATGGCCATCAACATACATGTAACACAATTAAATTTTACCGGGTACAATACTACCCAATGTAACGAGATCTTCAGTTGATCGGAGACTCAGTGGTTCCAATTGTCGAAGCTCGTGGAAAGTAAGATCTGTTGACTAGAGAGGCGAGCTGCTCTCTCTCTAGTAGTGGTTAGTAATGTTCCTAGTATAATGGTGTTTGCTGGTTATAGTGTGTTAGTAATCTAGTGTCGAAATTTCCGACAATGGGAGACACATGGCCATCAAGGCACGGCTTCTGTAATAATGTAATAACGCTTAACTCCAAATATCCGGGGTCTGAGTGCAGTGTCAAGCAAGAAATCTTCGTGGCTGTAGCACGTCAAAATGATTGGATTCTAACTGTACAATGATTCTCTCTTGAGGAGCAGTATATAAAGGCCTGCATAAAGTGAAGATATGGAATGTTGCAATCCATCTCGCTATTAACCACTTGAAATTTAAGTGAAAAGAATGCAAATAAATTTGGTAAACGAGCAGTTTTTTGTAAAACCACGTTGAGAATCCTTTACTCAGCCATCTTTTTCATGATGCAGAGATCAGCTTTAGTGATTATCGATTCCGGCAATTTTCCTCCTACTAACATTAAGCTAATTAAACATAATTTGTCGCTGGTGATTTTTTCCCCTATTAAAAATAGGCTCCACATGAGCACCCCTTCAAGACTGGGACTTAGCTCGACTCCAATGATTAATTAGGTTGGTCCACTGGCTGGCTGCTAGAGGGGGTGGACGTGTTTACTGTCGACTTCTCAGTTGGTGCCCAGCCGCAGTGGTCGAATGTTTTGGAATTTTCCTCATCGTTGGACCACACGTTGATTGGAATTGCGTTAGTGGATTTGTTACATGTCAAGTTACCCGATTTGGTGGGCGTTCAGCTCCTTCAAGACCGTCGTGCCGGGTGAAATTTATACATCATGATGCGTTCTTAAAATGTATACGCATCTGCTCAGCAGAGGTTCATACTAACACCTTAATCGGTGTTAGTATAGGCCATCTTTCCCTTTTCCTGATGACGCAGGCACTGTTCGAGTCGTCAACCCGGGTGTCACAGTGACGTTTGTGGTGGTGCGTGGTGTTCCCTTTGAAATGCCTGAGGAGCTGTTGACCCGGTTGTTTGGACAGTTTGGAAAAGTCTTAAGCATTTGCTGGAATTAGGTCTCTGCTGGCCACTGTCAGGGGTTGCTTGCTGGCACCCAGACTGCGACGATGTCCCTGGAGCAGAGATTTCCATCTTCGTTACCCCCTGATGGGATTTACGCTCCACTGCCTGTATAAAGGTCAGCCCCATACCTGTTATCGATCAAACCAGCAGGGGTCACTGGCGGCAGCTTCCTACGGCGAGGGGGAGGAGGGAGGGGCCGCTGATCGTGTCAATATTTTTTTTTTTTTTTTTTTTTTTTTTTGAGATATATACAAGAGTTGTTACATTCTTGTACAATATCTTCAGGGGAGGGTGATTTTCGGCCCCTCCGTACCCAGGATGATTCTGCGGATGTGTTGACTGGTGGTGATGTCTCGTCTTCCAGATTTCCAGACGTTGTGCTTGTCTGTGGGCATGTCCCGGATACCGTTAGAGTGCCCTGATCTACCGAGGGTCGCCGGCACTCCAATATGTGTTGTCGAGGATACGCCTGGCAGGCTGTGTGCAGCCAAATGTGCTGGTGGAGATTCACCTGCTGTGGTGGTGGACGTGGCTCCCCAGGTGGCTAACCCCATCTGCTTTGGGGAGCAGCTCTGGTGAACATGCTCTGCCGGTGAGGCATTAGGTATGGAGTTTCCCCCTCATCTCGGGAGGTGTCTCCGGCTCCCTTGGCAATGAATGGTGTGCATCGGCCACGTCGAGTTCAAGAAACTTCGGGTGTGGCTCCACTGGTCCCAGCGCAGAAGAGGCGAAAGAAAGGCTTCTCGGATGCGTTTCCATGATTTTGAAAACCTTTGTTGAGTATTTGGAAGATGACTCGGGTGTGGTGATTGAGGATGTGGTTGACCCAGAGCAGGGACAGGGGAAAGTCACTCCCTCGTTGCTACCAGCGTTCTGGTCCCCCATGTGTAGATGGGTCTCGGTGGGGTGGGGGGGCCTGGTGACAGTTGTCGCAAAGGCCATGATTAATGGTTTGGTAATGGTAATAGACTCTACTCTTGGGGATTCCGCTTCTTTGTCCCCCCCCCCCCTGCTCGTCGGGTTTCTAGGAACGTTTATCGGTCTGATTAACCGTTGTCGGATGACATTATGCCATCTGATGGGTGGTGTCCTATCTTTCATCCGTGAGTTTGGAGCTGCATCCTCACTTTTTAAAGGTTATGAGTGTTTCCTTCCTCCTGTTATTTTGAATGGCTGGTTGTGTGTTGTATATGGTATTCAGCTGGGTTTATTTTAGAGGGGGCCTTGAGTTGGAGTCCATTCTTCCTAGTCCTGTTCCTGGGCAGTGTCCGACATTGTCTTGTGAATTGCAAATATTTGCTTTTTCTGTATTGCTGTGTATTTTTTTTCTTTAACGGTTTCTTTTGATGGAATTGACATGTGTTATCATATTTATTGTTTCTTAAGTGGCCTTTCTGTGAGTTTTTCTTTATCAGTATATAGCGTTTTTCTTGTTGTGTGGTGCTGGTTGTATTTGCTGTGCCATATCTGTTTCCTTCGTGTGTGTGTATTTATGTTCTCTTTTATGTGTGTATGAGTTTGCAACTTGGTGAGTGCCTGTGTATTGTATTGGAGTTTGTATGTTTCTGTATTAGTGTTTGTATGTTTGTGTTTCAAGACCGCTTCTGTTTTGGTGTTTCACACATTTTTTTTATATTTTAATCTTATCATAATTAAATGATAGATATAATTACTATTGAGGTATAGATCACACAAATATATAAAGAACCTTTATAAAGGCCTCAGCTGTTTCAGTAATGTTGACTGGTCATCACACATCAGATACCCTTGGACACATGAACTCCAGTGATTAATGGCATCTGGGTGGTCCTGGTGTGGCCAGCTAAACTATGTCTCATGTGATCTCATGCACGTGAAAATACGATACACCATAATATCTGATGATTACATATATGTACAGGTGTTACATGTGAAATTAAATTGTTAAAATAATGAGACTTATCCTTGTGGGTGTTGTTTCGATGCCTTATAACGACTAATCCTAAACACCAAGAATAAATTGGTCAATTTAATCTGAGCTATAGACTAACCGAACTGGCACTTCCCTTAGTTCTTAAGTTGCATAGTTTAGGCAGCAAATAGCAACTTTTTGAGTTGCACTGTCCTCTTCAACTCGCTGGGAGTAAATTTCTGTCGTCACTGTGGGAGGCTCTCTTGTGAGCTCTAGTTCAACACAACATTTAATATGGTTAAACCCCTCTTCCTTTTCCTCCCTCTCCCGAGGTTGCTTACATTCGAGATTCGGGATGAAGAATGAGTTTGAGGTAAAATCTAACTATTACTATATATTTAATTTAGTAGATTCATTTTATGTGTAACCATCTCTAAGATAGGTGTATTTTATATTAAATTAGCCAAAACGTTGGCAGAATTATTGTGTTTGACCATGGGGTACATTACCCCCATTTTCAGTAACATTCATATGACTTACAAATGTAAATTAACAACATCTTATGGCAGTTACATTAGAGTTTATATATTTGATGTGGAAATTTTCCACATAATTCCAAGGGGAGTGGGGGGAAGAGAAACACAGGTCGAGGTCCAATATTTAGGGCTACCGAACTCTTCATTGCTCCTCTTCAGAATTATGGTAGTATTGCTTAAATTTCGTTTTTGCCCTGTTGTGAGGCAGTTCGTATAGGACGGATACCCCGTACAGGAGCTGCAGATGTGGGAAATCTTGAAGTGGGAAATCTTGATGTGGGAAATCTTGAAAAAGAAGATGTGGGCGAATTCATTTCATGCTAGCTCCAAAGGAACTAGTTTCTCTAGTGTCATGATTCTAGTGGCCCCTCTGCACTTTACTTTCACTATTCTGAAGACAACTGGGCTGTCTGGACCCCCCTTCCTGTCTGGCTCGTTTTTGCCATGAGAGGGCTTGGTGGGCGGCTGCCGGGGTGTGATGCTCCATGGGACAATCCTCTGTCCTTTAGTGGCTCCTACTGCTGTCCTCACCAATTTTGCTGGACAACTTTTCCTTTTCCTTTTGTTTCGTTTTTCTCCCCCGTCTTCTCCTTTCTAATTGGCATTTGCCGCTGGCCTTGTGCCTGTTTTGATCATTCTTTTGGCCTTCTTTTGTTTTGACGCCCGGCCGCTTGCACCTGTAGAACTGTAGTACGTCTCGATTGACAAAAGGGGGGACCCTTTTGTCAATCCTCCTTTCGTCACTGAATCTGATTTCAATGGACTGACCGTTAATAAGGTGACATTTGTTGGGCGTATACTCACGACACATCCCTAGGGGGCACCAGCAAGATCGGCATCATGTCTCTTGTTGGGTGTCCTGTCTCTAATTGTGGCTCCGTGATGGGTGTGGGGGGGCACATTCGTTAATGAAATTCTTTCCTCTAATCTCTATGTCAATTAATGTTCCTCTTTTACCTTCTCGGGCTCATGGGGTGAGCAACAAAGCCCCTGAGTCGGCCTTTGTTGGAAGACCAGGCTCTGTAGCCCCCGCTGCATTGGGCCCCGATCTTGCTCCTCCTTATACCCTCCAGACTACACCCATCCCTCCTCTGTGGTTGGGTCGAGCCCCAAGCCCCCAGTGGTACCCACCTCGTCCCTTGGCATGGCTCAGTCTCTAGTTGTGACTACTGCGCCTTTTAACCCTTTTCTCTCTGGGGGTTCTCAACGCAGTCCAAGCCACGGCTGCACTCGCTCGATTCCTTCCCATACTGATGTGTATCAAGCCTTGTTTGGTCCCGCTTCGTGGGCCAAAAAATTTGAGCTCCTCCCTCTTGATTCTACGCCTCATGACGATTTCTCCCTCCATAGGCACCTTGTTGATTCAATAGATACCTCTGTTACCTTCAACTCCACCCGTCTCAGTACACGTGTTGTTGCTGCTCCTTCTCGGGATGCAGCCTCCCACTTGGTCGCCTTATCCTGCCTTGGCAAGACCCCTGTTCGGGTCTCCAAGAACGTTCGGTTGAATGCCAGTGTTGGCCCTATTCTCCTTCCACCCCATGTTGCAACCGGTGTTCGGAATCTACAGGACTGCCACGAAGTTATTCGGCATATCCTCGATACCCAGGGCCATTCTGTCCTCCAGGTAGACTCGTTTACTCGTCCCCCGTATGGTCGTCGCCGTCAACCCTTCGGGTTGTGAAGATTACCTTTGATTGTAGGATCCTTCCGCCCTCTGTCATTCTTGCTGGTGCCAGGAGTACATTCCCTCACCTCAGCT